TTATGGAAAGAAAAAGAGGGGAAGACCTCGTAAAGGCTTTCTAGATGATGTTATCACACAATGTGGAGCAACAGGGTATGAAACGATGAAACGGTTGGCTCAAGACCGAGGAACTTGGAGAGAAACTTGGAGAGACACTTGATATAGAATGTTGAATGGGTCACTGAATCTGTCATAAACTGACAGATCACTATTGATGAGATCTAAATAATAGATACATTCTCAGATTTTTTGTTAATAATAATTTGACAATGTGTGTTTTGCGTGACTGCTAAAGCATGTGTATGCTACTATGCTTATCAACTAGGGGACCTACGCCCTTAAGTCATAAATGACAGTAATGAGGATTAATGCCCCACAAAAGGGCACTAATATAGCACATCGACACGGTTTTGATCCTAGGGCCTCACAGTTACGAGGCCATTGCTTTGTCACTGAGCCATGACTGTACGCAGCGGGGGCTAATTTATTGCATTTTACCCCGGTTCCCAACATTAAACAAATCCTCTGTGTGCCCATGCCTTGAGCCATAATGCATGGCCGTCCAGAGGATTTGTTATGTTGGGACCGAGGTAAAATGCAATAAATTATTGAGAATTTATTGCATTTTCTGTTTTTTATTTTTATTTAGCGGCTAATGAACATACTATTTGTTAGCTTTCTTCTGGTATTAAACTTGTTTTGATTGGTAGTATATTTTTGTCGTAATTTACTCATTCACATAACGGAACTACGTGTCGATGAAGCCAGTGGCCGGTGACCACAGAACTGTAAATATACGTAGAAGGCTTATAATGGTTCGAAAAATCCTCACACGCTAAGACTTCATCCCACAAAATACTGGATAGATCATTCTTCATAGAATCAATAGATGATAAATCGGTTTTATGTATGATAGGAGAGGGTATTTCTGAGGTGGATTGTTCACAGTATAAGATAGTTATTTGACATATGGGCAACTGATTTGTAATTTCATAATTTTGATCTTACTTTGTCAACTATATTCTTTATTGTGCAAACAATTGTTATATGAAATGAAATAAATAAAATCAATCAATCAATCAATCAATATCACTGTAGAATATCCCAGACTGAATTCGGGAAGCGTGTACATTAGTTAGAATATTCTCGAGTTGCAGATTTTGTGGTAATTCGTGAGGGCTTGTCTATTACGGAACGGAATGAGTTATGGTATAAAATGTCCACAAAATTATTGATACAATTATTGGAACTAACGTTATTTAAAGAAAAAAATCGTTTTGAAATCACCCGTAATATAATTATTCTTATTTTCGCAAGATAATTTTTCAAGACACTCATCAATACTATCATTGAAATTCTTAAAGGCGTCGTTTAACAAAGTTAAATCTGAGGTTCACGGCCCTACGTGTTATCAGTGTCTACGATATGGTGTAATATTGAAGTCCTAAAACAATTGCGCTTCAAAATGATCAAGAAGTGCCTCAAAAAAGTAAAAAATCTTGGAGTGATCGGTTTTACCATACTCGTTTCCCTTAAAAGACTGTATTGTTATGAAAACCGTTAGGAAAACGCAAAATTTGGTTTCGATTTCCAATCATAAATATCTTGATAATCGGACAGGCGATCGGCTTGTAAAAGTCATAGGGTTCCTGACTGACCTAAAGGTTCATAATTATCATTGCAGCATGACCTAAATCCATGATTTGTTTCAGAATCTGAGACAAAGTTACCGGATCCCTTTAATATATATATATACGAGGGTCTCTATAGATAACACCGACAACAAACTATTATTTTTATTACACAATTCAATTTCTATAAATATCAACAATATGTATGATAATTACTACAATTATTTCCGTGAACGTACAAGAAATTATGCTGAACAGGAAAGAGCTGCACACCAGGATACTCGCTCAAAGAATAATGTTAATATCAAAAATACGCTGAACGTGTAATGTATTCCTATAGTATTATAATCTCTCATACCTATGCTCTCGATTCTACTTTTCGCTTTAATTCATCGTCGCAAAAACAATAATGAAGATGATAATTACATTGCTAATAATAATAATAATAGTAATGATAATAATAACAACAACAACACTAGTAAAAACAACAATAGTAATGATAAACTTATTGATATATATTGGATATTTTAAAGCTAATCTTGAGCTCTGGTATGGGAATCGTATTTTAAGAGATAATTGCTATGATTTATTCTGGATCGTTTATCCTGCAGTAGAAATAAAAAATAAAAAAAGTACAAAAACTTACTGCATGGCCTCATTTTCGATTAAAAAAAAACAATTCCCATTTGCACATAGTGACCTGTGTTTAAAAAAGCAGATGCTGTCGGGCCTACTTACCTGGATTTCCTTATCTTTCTATGCTCAATATTCAGCAACTATATATTTTCTACCAAAATTGTTTGGCACATGTCATTTATTTGTAATATTGAACATTTGGTGTAAGATTCGTTGGAATCTGTGAGAATATATTTTCTATATCTACCAGAACTCAACTTTACCTTTAAGGGCACACATATCCACCACGCACGATGCTCAAGGCGTTCTAGTATTATACCAGCCCTAGTTATAATAGCTAGGCTACCGATTTTGGTGCTTACAGCATTCAGTAATTCCTTTCTACCGGTAAGCCTACCCATTGTACACCTGGGTGCACCGAGTCTCAAACTCAAGACCTCAGCATATACATTGAAGGGTTTAAAAAACTCGACTCTGACACTTTATAATTTTTGTACCTTTCCTTTTTCTTTCTCTTTTTATGATGTTGTATCGTACTCAAATAATACTTTTGTGTATATTTTTTATCTTTTGCACTAGCGCACCTTGAGAGTTTGATTTTTTAAAAGTATTTGGTGCCTCACAAATTTTATCTAGGCCTATTTTTATCTATCATCATTATAATAATCTTTGATGCTGTTGAATCACTAAACGCTTGATACATATTTGCATGTTCTTGAATCATCCCTGTCTCATTACAAAGCTACAACTACTCGAGCAACAACAACAACCACTTTGAACACCACGACGAAACACCGTACGAACACCGCGGAGCACACGACGACCACCGTGACGACATCGGAGTGGACAAGGTCTTCACCTCGATCATCAGGTAGTGATTCAGCGACGACTGCATTGGTGGATATCACTTTCACTGAACCCTTGGTCTCAATCCCCAGCCGATTAGGTAGCGGGTAATCACTATAATGATGCATGCCAATCGTACATTGGATTGCGCATGAATATACATACGCCACTTTAAAATGGTTATGACTATTTTAATAGGTAAATGTGTGGTATTTTATTTGGTTTTATAATCTTCATCAGTGACATCACCGTAGATAAGTCAGAAGTAGTATTAACATATTCAATCAAAATGAGGCTCGTTCAGACATGCCGCGGCAAAACTGCGGCATATTTGTATTATATTTGTATTATAGCTATTTAAGAGTGATATTATTATTTAAATTTTGGTTATTGATATTATGTTATTATTATTGTTATCATTATTATTGGTAGTAGTAGTAGTAGAAGTAGTATTAATAGTAGTAGTAGTAGTAGTAGTAGTAGTAGTAGTAGTAGTTTTTATATATTTTTTTTTTATAATTATCGGTATTATCATAACAATATCATAACTATTTGTTGTTACTTTTTCACATGAAATGTTCGTCTTTATATCATGCTGTTAAAAACAAGAAACAAAAACAAATAATCCATGTTATGATATGATTGAATTTAAACTTTGTTTTCTCTGTATTTTTAACCTATAATTTATAAAGGGCCTTTTAGGAAAACAGTTTTGATACTGAGAGTGTTGCCCTGTTTAAATCAAACGGATATATAAATAACTAAATATAAATTGATTAATTGATGTATTTACCAATTTATTTATTTATTTATCTAGACCTTTCCACCGTAGAAGCCGTGGGTCCGTCGGTTCACATTTCCATTACAATCTCTATCCCGGTCGCCATTTCTCTAATCATCATTGTTGTAGGTATACTGATATATCACCGCCTAAAGCACACTGGAGAATCACCTATCAGAGTGACGGACAGAGCTAATGAACAACACCAAGACAGGGCACTTCGGGATAAAAGTGTCCAAGGAGCAACATCTCGGTCGTTAAACGCTATGCCTTCATCACATAGAATGCATTGCTCTTCAGGGACCAATCCTTCAGTAAAGAACCCTCTTGAGACCTCGGTCGGAGAAGTTCTCTACGAAGATCCTGACAAGAAAGTTTCTTCGGCAACCACGGCAGATTCTGAACTATCCCATGAGTACCTCGTCCCATTCCGGGCCGTTCCTTTGAAGGACAGCTCATTGGACCATGACTACAACTACCCGGACATGCCAGATGTAGGCCTGGTCCAAGGTCCAGTTTCGGCCAGAAGTACCGATGAAGATGGGTACATTGTCATGGGTCGTGACCCACAAGACCGAACAACCGCTGGCTCTAAGGTTTACTACTCTTCGCATATACTCCGATCACAGGATGGTATGGGATCCTCGGAAATCCCCGACAGTGAAGGATACTACTCTACGCGCATACCTAAATCCCTTAAGCAGGAGGAACGAGGAGGGTCTATAGAAAACACTGACTCTCACGTGTATCAATCTGCTGACTCAGTAAAAGCTCGTAATGATAACGAGGATGGTGCTTACATTATCCTGGATGAAAACTGATCACATAAAATCATTTAATTCTTCACTGTTTGTTTTTGTTTGTAAGCTTTTTGTAATTATTTATTTACAATCTTTAGATTAATGTTATAGAGACATTCCTCGCATTTGCAAAAATCTTTTGGAAGTGTTCTCGCACCTCCACAAAAGCCACGTGCCATAATAGAAAGAGAAATAGGCTACTTTTTGTTTTGTGTAATATAGTAATACAGGTCGTATTATTTTGTCGCGATAAAAAAAAGGTTCCCCGATTTCATTCGGCCATCGGGATTTGTACTGTTCTTTTTGCAATAACATTTTATTAGAATGCAACTCTCACATGGCACGGCAAAGAACGCTCTAGTCACCATGGTTACTGACGCAATCCTACGCCATCTTAATGGCGACTTGTGTTATGACCGTCAGACACAACGTCGGGAAACAAGCACAGGTAAATACGCCGAATATGGCGTCTTTGCAGAGTCCTCGTCGTTCAATGCGAGGCATCGTGTACAAGAGGCATGAGGAAATATCCTTGCATTTTCGAGCTGTTCTTGGTGTAGGCCTTTATTTAAAAAGAAATATATGTTGTAGATATATTTCATTGAAATGTTTGTCATTTGAAAAGGTTTATTAGAGGACTTAACATTAATGATAATAATAATAGGCATTTATATAGAGCCGTCTATCTATAAATTCTATTCCGAGGCGCCATTACAGCGCTCCCGCATTTCAAGGAATTAATTCCTGCTAAGTACCCATTTACCTCACCTGGGTCGAATGTGGCAAATGAAGATTAATGCATTAACAAAGGACATTAGTGCCGTGACAGGGATCGAGTGCTTAAACCATTCGACTTCGACACTTCTACATTCTAGGACTTCGAAGACCCATTACATTATTTTTTATTACAAAAATATAGTAACTGCTGGTTGACTTTGCAACGCCTTTTGTTCACATTGCCTCACATTCAACGTTGAGGGCTCTTATTCATCGTGCGGTATACGTCGTTTTCGGTGTATTTAGAGAGAAGGTTCATTGATTTTAAAAACTAATTTTGTTGTCATTATTGCAAAGGTGAAACTTTGCTTGGAAAGGTTATCAATATTCATTGCTTGAAAACATTCGAAGTAATGATTATCATCAATTACAAAACGCTTAAATACAGCCCTGGCATAGCAACTGAAGAGCTCTCCGAACGCCGCTGAGATGTATGACGTCACAATGTTGAACATGATTTGCACAAGCAGACGATGTCTAATGACATCTCACATATTTTAAGTGCGTGTTTTGTCATCTTCTCTTCGGTCAATTCTCTTCCTTCACTACCGTCAGGCTAAATATTTAATATATTGCCTCACTGTAGACCCCGCGCATAGTATTATTTTGATGAAAAATGCAGCGATAAAAAAATAAAGGATCCCGTCGCTTGTAAACAAAATAAGACGCTATTGTATTTTAAATTTTAAGCCGCCAGCACCGCGGTATGTTCGTTGTTTCAAGAGGGAACAAATGCCGTTCATGCTATCATTCTGGGGGGGGGGGGGGAGGTTCAATTTGAAAGTGTGGTTTCTTTGATTGGTCATTAGCCCTATCCTGTGTACAGGGGCGTAGACAACGGGGGGGGGGGGATGAGGGGGATGCATCCCCCCCCCCACCTCACAAGGTGGGGGGATGGCATGTACAATCATCCCCCAGGTTTTGGGGAATGATATTTGCTTACTTAATAAGTCATAATGATGATAATAATAGTACTAATAACAATGATAACAATTATAATATTAATAATAATAATAATTATGATGATGATAATATAATAATCCTCATCATTATTGTAATTGTGTTTATTGTTATTAGCCGCATTCACACGGTGAAAGCCAATTCAGACGGTAAAAAAAAGAAAATCTTACAAGTATTTTGTGGTTATCTTGTGGTTTGGAAACCACAAGATAACCACAAGATTAAACAGGCGCGGATCTACGGGGGGGGGGGTTTAGGGGGGTTTAAACCCCCCCCCCTTGGGCGGCCCAAAAAACAAACAAAAAAAAAGGGGGAAAAAAGAAAGAAAAAAAAGAAAAAAAGAAAGAAAAAAGAACGCACGCTGGCAAGAAACCCTTTGAAGTGCAAATATTGTGAGAAGATATTCAACTCATCTGGTAACTTAACCAAACACATGATAACTCTGGATATAACTGTATTTAACTGTTACTTGATTTAAAAAGACGTTACCATGCACTGCTTTTTATGGTCTCCATTGTGTTAATAGATGCCAGGAAAACATCACTTACGGGGTTCAAATAAACACCCCCCAAAAAATCGGATCGCCGCTTCGCGGCCTGTGGACGATGCTCCGCATCGTCATTATTTTGGTCACCCCCCCCCCCTTAGCAAAAAGCTAAATCCGCCCCTGAGTCATCCCCCAGGTGTACGAACCTGTCTACGCCACTGCCTGTGTATTTACAAACAAAGGAATTTACTTATCAGAATTGGTTTCATATCCCTTCTTAAATGGTGTAAAATGCCATCACATTTATATACACTAAACTTATTAAAATTTGAGAAATAATAGCATTGCAAGTTTTGCAACTATGTTCATTCTTTATGGGATGTTATCTGCTTAAACAGGGTTGGTTCATATTGTGTGGTCATTAAAACATCGACATTTTTCTGGCGAATCTCTCGTATATCCCAATGCAGTGGAGGTGGTTTATTTGTATTTTTATAAATCATCCGATATGTAGTTGACCTAAAACTTGTACGATGGACATCTGTTAGCTTACCAGTTTCTAGTGATACGTTATTTGCCATATTTGTGATTTTCTTTGAACAGGCACTTCAACTGTTTTTCATAAGTTGCTTCTGACTGAATGGCGTGGCGGCAACTTGATTGTGATGCCGTGTGGGCAAAACGGACATTTCGAATGACTGTTGCAAGATTGAAACTAGAATGTATATTTGCTCAAAACCCATGCACGCAATATTTGGATGTCACATGTAGAACGTAGAGATATTTTGCACCTCCTTCGTTTTCGTCATTTATATGTCACATAATAAAATGACTTTTCACAAGTTTTTTTTCATAAAACAACAATAGCAACTTTGTTTTCTGTCGCTCAGTCATTCTCGAATTATTGCATATTACAACTAATATCAAAGTATTACTCACTTGTACCTCACTTGATCCAGGATTATTCAGTCTTTAGACTGTTGTTCCTATCCATGGTTTCCTTTGGTTGGGGTTGTCATCATATTAATCTGGGGCATCTTTTCACCATTTCTCAAGTCCAGATTTGAAACGGTTTATAGTGGTACTCTCCACAAAATCGCCTGGAAGACCATTCGACACATTGATTTTTCTAGAGTGAATGTCCGACGTCAAACATACTAGTTCAAAAATCATTCCACTAAGATTTTTAATTCCGTAATTTACGGAATAAAAATACAACGAGGTTTTCCTTTTTCAACCTTTTCTATGTAAAATAAATGGCAACCATTAAATAACTCATTAACACGAATTCGAGCAGCTGAGGGTGAATATCATGTTCATATTGCTCCGGTTGTCTCATTTTCGATCGCTGGACGTATATAACAGACGGCATTCGGCGGATTAGACGACACTTGGTAGTGAATTTGTATGTGAGATTGCTTTGCTAAATATAAAATACAAGAACATTTTCCATATCTTTAAACCACCATTGATATCTGATAATTAAACAGTTAGTAAAATAAACCTACCAAACTAGATAATACATGAAATACTTGACTTACAGTAGGGGAGTTTCATGTGGTGCACAGTTGCACCCCTCTGTAAATAATCGAATAGTCCATGGCGATCATGAATATTCATGTTTTTGCTTACCTCGGCAAAATGCTTGCCTATACTAAATGGAAAAATTACGGTGGGGGTTGGCTGAAATGGACATAATGAACCGATCAGAACTGATCTATGATAATTCATGCTTGTTATCCTTCGTGTGCTTGACCTATAATCGTACAATCGCTTGGCAAATTGCGTCCAAAGTTCGACTTGTTTCACAGGTGTTATATAGGCAATGGCGAGCTAGCGACCTATATTGACCAAATTACGGTAGGTGAACTTTCAAAAGTCAATGGAACATGAGGGTTCCAATGAAAGAGCTTGTGTCAACGTATGTCGGGGTGGATGTGCTTTTCGTTTAAACAAACACAAAATGAATTTTTAACGATTTTGGGGGTAAAAGTCAGTATGCTAACATGTTAGGCTGCTGGACTCTGACGATAGGGGGCGTTGTCCAATGAGACTATTCGGAGCCATATGGATTCCAATAGAGTTTGATATTTCAAATGCAAACCATTAACTTTTGTGATAAAATAATTAAAAACTACTACTTATCAGGATAAACATAGTCAAGCAGAATAATGCTTTTAGCAGTTTCAAATGACAACAATTGTCATTATCTTAAATTAGGTTTAAGGTTAAAGAACAAAACAAAAAATAAAAAGTATTAAAATCACACTAAATCAAACTATTATGTTTCAGTCCTTTTAGAGATCAAAATGACAGCTTGTGCCATTTTTATCAATTCTGATATCTCTAAAATCAATGCAGGACAAGAACGATCTAAATTTCGTTTTTATATCGCCTAATTTGGGGGTTGGTGTTGGATTTTAATGATACTATGTCGTAATAAATAGAGTGATTGAGTATGTTTGACTCATTTATATTTGAAATCGGCGCCCGCTCGAGTACCATTTATATTAAGATGACTAAAAAGCCAATGTCGAAAAGAAAACTGTAATTATTCTCTCTCTCTCTCTTTCTGTATCATACCAGTTTTTTTTTTTGTCAATGTAAAATACATTCATCTGGTACCGAATACGAATTATCCAGGCCAATGAGGGATTGATAAATGTTGTATAAGGTATTGTATCAGGTAAAGAGTACAGTAACAGTGTGTCCTAAACCTTAATAATGCAGGCTTAGCAATAGCAAAGAGATCAAAATCAATTGAGCTGTATGCCAGATCAGTTTAATCTACAGTACATCTACAATCACCATGAAGGCTGTCGTTCTTGCTCTGATGTATGTTGGCTTGGCTTTACTAGCAGGAGGGGAGTTTAGCAAAAGACAAATGTTGAGTAAGTATGGTATGGGCGTTAGTAGGAGAGGTGGTAAAATAACCTTTGTTATGGGAAGGGGGCTGTGGGGCCTTGGGGGCTCTGGCGGCTGGGGACGGGGGCTTGAGGGTTCTTGTTAGAATTTTCTATATTCACGTCCCTGTTGCTTAGATTCACTAAAAATAAAGATTATCTCTCTTATAAATGTAATGCTTCCTGGGAGAAATTTCAAGTATTTAAACATATTTGTGGCTCACACCCAGTCAATAAGATCGATTGATCGATCTGTATTGAAAAACAAGTCAGAAAAAATCTTTGAACCAGCGGAACTTGAACCTGCGTCTACTGCTGCCG